TAGCGTCTTATATGCGCGTGTTTATCGTTGCTTAGTGATCAACTATGTAAACAATGACAGACTATCATCACTGTCGTGTCCGTATATTGTTTAATATGTTTGTAATTTACATCTTTGATAATGGCTTAAGTAAGCCGAAAGCTTAGATTACATTAAAAAAATATGGATCAATATTGTGAATTTCTTTCTACGTTTAATGATAATGTTATCAAACTTATCAGATGTTACGAACAAATTTTACATAAAATAAATAGACAACACTTGTCTATATTATTTAATGAAACGTGTATAAATATATATATATATATAATTTTATGTATGTGTTCCATTATTATCCTTTTATCTATCTATCTATCTATCTATCTATCTATCTATCTATATATATCTCTATATATATATATATATATATATATATATATATATATATATATATATATATATATATATATATAATTTTATGTCTGTGTTCCATTATTATCCTTTTATCTCTCAACTCTATCAGTGTTACCTATCAATAATTTACTTTTGATGCATTCTTTCAAATATTAGTCTCTTCTTTATGTTGGCCTTCATCATTTTCCTGTTTCTTCTATCTTTTGTCTTTTAATCAAGCGCCATTACCCGCTGTTAAAAGAGAATTCCTCACTGTAGAATATTGCGCCCGTGGACGCCTATTCTAGCTAATACTTTTGCGCCAAACGAACGTTCTGTGATCAAAGACTTTTCTACGATTCAGACATGGATCGACAATTCAGCTGCATATTCGACAAACATTGGCTTGATTTCAAGTTGTCTTCGTCATCAATATCTAATTTGTTTTTGTCCTATGCTTTAATAAGCTATGGAGATAACATTCGTTCGTAAAAGGTTGAAAATTATATATATATATATATTATATATATATATATATATATATATATATATATATATATATATATATATATAGTGACCTACACTAAATTCAAATTCACCCGAAAAATCGGTTAATCATAGCAAAACCCACAAGTCTATTTTTAAAGTATTCTGCTTTTTGAAATTAAATTAATCTTTCACTCGCCAGTAGTTTAACATCGCCTGAGGAGACACATTTATGGTTTCGAAACATAATTACCATTATGTAGCGATTTTTAACATGTTTTAATATCATAAAATAAATAATATTTAGCTCTATTATTTATTGAACTCCCTTTTAAATTAAATGTTACGTACAGTGGAATTATACTCGATTTGTTTTCATTTAACAATATATCTCGGATATATATATATATATATATATATGGGGGTGTAAGGAGAACAAGATATAATTTTTTATGAATCACAAAAATTTTAGGAAAGTCCATGACAATGTACGAACAACAATTCGTGTGATGCCTTTTAATTCTTTAGGACTTCAGCGGACTAAAATGATGTTTACGTTGATGTGATTACATATGCGCTTGAAGGAGGGGAGGATGAAATGTTCAATTCCATTTTTATTTACTAAATGAAATCTGTGTGACTATATATTCGAACACATAATTAAAAAATTTAAAAATTAAATTTATAATTCTACTGTACCCACTCCTTCAAGCGCATATGTAATTACACCAACGTAGATATCACTTTAGATCGATTTGAAAAATATGTTAGAATAGTCCAAAACCCATACTGAGAGAAAACTGCCAGCATATGAATAGAAAATGGATTGAGTGGTTACATAAAAGCAGAAAGAGGCGTAAGACAAGGATATGTCTCCTCTCCAGATTTATTCAACCACTACAGCAAGGCTACCATAGCATAACTTATTATCAGTAGGCGTAATCTTAATAATATGATATGCTTATCACAGTGTTAATGTCTGACTCTGAATGAAATCTATAAGTCTTCCTAGACAGGCTAGTAAAAGAAAGCGAGAAAAAAGGACTAACTGTAAGAGTAGAGACCATATTTATCAGCAAGAGAAAAAAAGCAAGATGTGAGTTGTAAATTGGAGATGAAAACATCAAGCAGGTTCTGAAGTTTGAATATCCGGGAAGTGTTTTAATAGAGGATAGAAAAATGTGGTATCGATATCCGGATATTGATTAGATTAGCGAAAGAAGTATTAAGAAAGATAAGCAAAGTGCTGAGAAAACTAAACAGGAAATCGTTAGAAACAAAACTAGAGTGATGGATTTCTATGTGATATTCGTCATCATATATGGTAGTGGATGCTGGAGGATCTAACTGCAGATGTAGAGTAAATTGGAATCAGTAGAAATAAAGGATACTGAAAATTTCATGGACGGAACATGTAAACAACGACGAATTCTTAAAGAAAATCGCGACAAAAAGCATAGTTATTCTCCGAAGACTCAGTTGAAATTCCTGGTACACATAACGCAGAAGGCGAACATGTCTTCAAAAGACGTATAGATGCAAGAGAGGGAAGGAAAGGCAGCGCGCCACATACCCGACGAGCTTGTGTGAATTGCAGAACAGGGGACGAATGCTTTATCAAGGGGAGACAACTGTTAATGAC